GGTGCGTCTCCAACCCAACCACCGCAGGAGTTGCCGGGAAAGCTCCTGATTTGTTTTGCAGGCGGGCCCACGGCCGCAAGGGCAACCGAGGCCGGGGGAGAGGTGAACCAGCTTCCTGGCTGCAGTTCCTGAGGGTTGAGGCGGGAGGGCAAACCGCTCTGGCCGAGCCTTGGGAAAACAAGGGGCGGACTGCGAAGCAGGTCGGCCCGCCGCGGCTCACCTTCTGCTGCCTGCGGGCCATGTCTGTGGGCTGCTTGGCGTTGAAGGGGTAGGCGATGCAGCGCGCGATGAAGGTGTAGAGCTGCAGCCGAAGCCGCTTGTCGCTCTCCTCTTTCTGCAGCCGCTCCTGCTCTTCCCTGCTTTCGCTGCGCACCGAGGGGCTGGGGCTGGCCGGTCTAGCCGCCCCTCCGCCGCCGCCGCCGCCGCCTCCCTGGCGCCCGAGCTCTCGGTGAGCCGCCGGATGGGATCTCTGTGAGCTGCTGGCCACCACTAGCACCTCTCGTCTCTCTTCCTCCAGTACCTCCTCGGACTCTTCCTCACTGGAGGACGGGTCGAGCATGGTGCTCCGAGTGCCTCACGCCGGCAGGCGGGCAAAGAGAGAAAAAGGGAGCGCTGAGTCGCCGGCGGTGCAAGGCGAGCGGCCACCTTTCCGGACACGTCGAGCTTCTACTGCTAGACTGTTTCCTACCCGCGAGTCGGCGGCGGCCGCCCAAAGAGAGAGAGAGGCGGGGTTTGGGGAAAAGGAGGTCGAGCTTCGGGGAAATTTACTGGGCTCGCCTCCTATCAGAGCCCTGCCTGGCCTGTAACGTCTTCCCCCGGGCGAGCAGGAGGGAGGCGCGAAAGAGCAGCGGCGCGACTCACAGGTGGGAAACCTGTAGCGCCCACAACAAGCAACACGTGGAATGGAATGCTAATCGCCAGGCTCCGCAGCGGCCGCCAGCCCGGCCAGCCTCTCGCCGGCCCTGCTTTCTGCCTTCCCCGCCACGGACAGAGCGGCCCTTGGGCTCCTTCGCTTTCATCTGGCTCGGGCCGCTCCGAGCTCCAGCTGTCTTCTTGGAGCTGAGGGTGTTTGCCGTTCTTTCCGGCCACAACGAGATTTTAACATCACATTGCAGCTTCTGCAGCCTGCTGGTTTTATCCATTTGGTTTATATCTCATACATCCATGTCATATTATTTGATAGCCCACCTTTCTAATGGGAGGGGGAATATTCGGTATCCCATTTTTCTTCCCCGTGGGGGGAAAAAAGTATTTTCTCCTACCTTTCTTTCCCTGTGAGGAAAAAATATATTTAGATAGTTCAACTTTTCCCCCACTGTATGAAAAGAAAGTAATCAAAACAATAAAATAATAATAAAACATACAGAGGAAGATGAGCATTTTGCAATCTGTCTCTCATTCCTGTTGGTAGTTGTTGTAATCCTCCAAAAGAATACCTGGAAGACTGTAATAGCAAAGATAACCTTAAAATTAAATGTTTTACTTTGCTGCCTTTGGTCTATAAGGAAGTATGTTTGCACCTGGAAGTTTTGGGGCCAAATTGCATCCTGATAGGTCAGCAAGGTCCTGCAACAAAATTATAGTTCCAATCCTCAACATGTTTTTTCAAAAGTATATCCTCTTGATTTATTATCTGTGGGTGAGCCAGTGTGGCACAGTGGTCCAAGTGGCTGCCTGGTAGCTGGGAGACCTGTGTTTTCTACTCTGCCCAGAAGCCTGCCAGATGGCCAGTCACCTTCTCTCAGCCTAATCTACCACACTGAGGTGGCGTGAAGGGAGAACCACAGATGCTGGCCCAAACTTCTTGGCAGAAAGGTGGAATAAAATATGTACTAGATAAATTGATTTTACATGGAAATAAGCCCCACTGATTTCAGAAAGCTGTCCTCCTATGCATAAGGGCACATTCCAGGCATAAGAATATAGCTTTCTCAAATTAGTGGAATTTCCTATTTCACATGCATAAGATTACAGCCTTACTATATTTGCAGTCAGATATTCCCTTCTCTCCACCACAGGGATACTGCATTGTGATCCTGTGCATGCTCACTTGTAAGTAACACTGAATTCAGTCCCCTTTCATAGGTTTAGAGCTTAATTTTACAGTTTTATCCTATACACATTTACTCAGAAGTAACACCCACGGTATTAATTGAAACTTGCTCCTGTCCTGAATGTACATAGGTCTTTAAGTGACTTAGTGCTATCCTAAGCATGATTAGTCTGAAGTAACTCCCATTCAGTGCAATTGGACTATGCATATACACATCAAGGTCTGTTCAGAAGTAAACCTGCATATTGATTGGGTTGTAAGCTTTTGACCACAGGGAATGGCTGTGGAGCTTTAAATGAACATCCATATACAGTCACTTTCTTTTTAATATTTATTCACATGAAGATGCCTTCTACTGAATCAGACCATTGGTCCATCAGGTACAGTATTACTCTGACTGGCAGTGGCTCTACAGGGTCTCAGGCAGAGGTCTTTCACATCACCTCTGTCAGCAAGCTGCCATGGTGTTCTGTGTTGCTGGTACTTCGGTACAGTTGTTCCCCCCCCATCCCCCTCCTTCCCTGCCTGTGAGCTGTTATTGTACTCTGCTGTAATGCATAAGCCAAACAACTGGAGGTCGTCTTGTGGGAGTTCGCTTCATTGCTGGCTTGTTGCTTTTAGAGCCTGAGAACTGCACCTGTATATGTCTGGAGATAACTGAGTTCCCAGGGAAAGGGCGCGCAACCGTTTCCCCTCGCCCGCCAGCGGGAATGTGACCCATTGGTTCTGTATCTGTTTCAAATCCCTTTATTATGCTTGCCCTTATGGTTTGTAGTCAGTTCTAACAAAGAACGTGTTTGAGTGTCTTTCCAATGCTTTGAAATAAATTTTGCTTTTCTCGAAAACGTGGATTTATTCTCGATGCTTGGGGATCCAACATATTGTTAGAACTCTCTTTCTCCTATCGTCCCGAATCTGACACGATCATGAGCGGGACAGAGGGAACGGTCCCTAGAACCTCCACGGCATTGATCACCACAACCACCATACCCACGTTCGGGGCGGTGGGGGGAACGATTCCCCGGTTACCTGCGTACCTTTCTTGGCCGCCACCAACACCCTCGCGATGGGGCCCGAGGTCGGTACCGGCGCAGGAGGATTGGACTTTGTATAATGCCAAGGGCACCAGAGAGGTGTACTCCCGCAGAGGAAGTGGACTTCGGGAGAGTTTGTTTGACAAAGGCCTTTACCCCGAACCAGAGAGACCAGCGGTAGCTGGGATGGGTCAGCGGGAAGTGGAAGACTGGATGTATGAACCCCTTGGGGAAGGGGCCCGAGCGGGGTCCCAGGAGGGAGCGTCGGCCCCTCCAAGCGAGGGGGACTACGAGCCGCCACCGACATACCGGCAATCCGAGCGCCTCTCGGAGGAGGGGACGGGTGAGCGGCTGAATGAACTGGAACAATCGGTACGGGACATGATGAGGACTTTACACGATGTGTTTGAAGCTC